TTTTATTTGGTGTGTATGGCCCTTTAAGACTGTCGGTGGGCATATTGGGGCTTATGGAATCTTTATGTGACTGGTGCTGGCCCTTTAAACACCTTTTTTGGGACATCAGGAAGATTGGGACACTGCCCCTTTAAGGCCGTGTCCCCAGACTTGTTGCAAACCCTTTGTGCCTGCCTGGCTAATTCCCACTTGGTTCAGTAAATGGGGCTTACTGAACCAAGTACCACACAGGCAGACCACCCAGAAGTGGAAGTGTGCAGGCAATTTATTTTCTGTGAAGCTGCGTTAACCGCAGCTTAATTGACAATGCTGGGAGGTCTTGTTCGCTTGTCAACAAGGGCGGCGCCATCTTTGATCATTCGATGAGGTCAGCGGTATGTGTAGCCAAATTCATGGAACTAAAATCGGCTACACATTTCCGCGAACACCGCTGAGCTCTATCTTCTCCCCTACTGGTTTTACAGCTGCAGAGACTAAGTCCCATTCGGCGATGGGACTTAGTCTTTTTTTCAGCCGTTTTTTTCAGCCTTATTTCAGCTGCAGAGACTAAGTCCTATTCGCGATGGGACTTAGTCGTTTTTTCAGCCTGAAATAGACCGACCTCACAGCCCAAATCTATGGAACTGTTTTGGGCAGGAAAATGTGCTTGCAGTCGGTCATAAAGGGACCTACAGCTAACTTTTTAACCCCTGGATGGATTTGGCTGATTTTTTGGTTATGTTATGTTTTAAGTGTGCTGATTCCAAATATGTAATTATGAAGATGGGATGTAGTTTTAAAGTTACAGGGTATGGCTAAAAACTGTATTTTTACTGCCTGTGTTTAATTATGTTAATCTCTTCCCAAACGTCATTTCGTTCAAAGTGGAGAGAATGTTAAAAAATATATTTTTGTTCGAGTGTGAGAAATGCTTTCACGCTTTCTAATCTTAAGCATCATTTGAGGAGCCAGCACAGGAGAGAAACCTTATTTGTGGTGTGTTTAGTATTGTTCTGACTGCTTAATACCTTCCGCTACGCATCAGTGGACGGTATATGGCGTTTTGGTTTTAGGAACTATACACCTGGACCCGAAAGCAAGGTCACCCTGCTCAACAGGCTTTGCAGCGTATCCTCCAGGAAGAAGAGCCTGAACTCCTTACCGCTGCACGTGTCTTACCTGTACATGGAAAGCTGCTGTGATTCCTTGATGAGCCAGCTGCCCGTGAGTTAACATGTCCCGTGGAGAAGCACTCTGTCCTGTAAAGCCTCACCAAAAAAAAAGGAGTGGTGTGTTTAGTATTGTTCTGATCAGTTTAATACCTTCCGCGTCTCCTATCAGTGGACGTGTATATGGCAGCCATTTTGTCAGATTCAAGTTCTTGTGCCCTACAGTTCAAAATAACATTCAAATGACAATTCATGACAGATCACACAAGTGAATAGCCCTGCCAACGTCTTCTCAGAATTTTTTCGTTTTCTATGAAGAAATAGAAATGCAAGAGCAGAATAGAGACTGTTCAGTTTAATACCTTCCGCGTCTCCTATCAGTGGACGTGTACACGGCATTGATTTTTGTAACAGGGAGATGGAAGAAGAGGCTTGGTCGGTCCTCTTACTGCAAATTTTGGCACTGCGCGGTCAAGCTAATGTGACACCAGATAGGAGTGGTGTGTTTAGTACTATTTTTATAAGTTTAATACCTTCCGCGTCTCCTATCAGTGGACGTGTACACGGCATTGATTTTTATCTAAGCCGTAAACTTTTGCATAGCGAAGTAGATTCACTGCCATTGAAAAGGAGTGCATGGCGGTGGTGTGGGCCCCCAAAAAGCAACCTACTTGTATGGACAACCGTTTACCTTACTCACAGATCACAACAAATTTGGGGCACTGCGCGTGCAATCTAATGTACCACCAGATAGGAGTGGTGTGTTTAGTACTATTTTTATCAGTTTAATACCTTCCGCGTCTCCTATCAGTGGATGTGTACACGGCATTGATTTTTATCTAAGCCGTAAACTTTTGCATAGCGAAGTAGATTCACTGCCATTAAAAAGGAGTGCATGGCGGTGGTGTGGGCCCTCAAAAAGCTGCAACCTACTTGTATGGACAACCGTTTACCTTACTCACAGATCACAATAAATTTGGGGCACTGCGCGTGCAATCTAATGTACCACCAGATAGGAGTGGTGTGTTTAGTACTAATTTTATCAGTTTAATACCTTCCGCGTCTCCCATCAGTGGACGTGTACACGGCATTGATTTTTATCTAAGCCGTAAACTTTTGCATAGCGAAGTAGATTCACTGCCATTGAAAAGGAGTGCATGGCGGTGGTGTGGGCCTTCAAAAAGCTGCAACCTACTTGTATGGACAACCGTTTACCTTACTCACAGATCACAACAAATTTGGGGCACTGCGCGTGCAAACTAATGTGCCACCAGATAGGAGTGGTGTGTTTAGTACTATTTTTTATCAGTTTAATACCTTCCACGTCTCCTATCAGTGGACGTGTACACGGCAGCCATTTTAGGAACCGTATCTGGGACTCCGGAAAAGGTCAAATTCTGCTCCAGAGATGCTATACTTCCTTTGCACAATTGGAGTACAGGTTGGGGATTGCCTTTATGTAAAGTACTTCGCCGGAATCTTCCACCGCGGTGTGTGTCCCACATACAAATTTTTGAACGGCCAGACTCCACCAGCTTCTGTGTATGGTAAAAGCTGGCGGGCTAATAGTTCGGACAAGCCAGCGGTCAGACGCTGGGTAAGGGGGTGACTTTCTGACATTGTCTTCTTACGCTCAAACATGTCCTTGATAGACACATGACTGTGGGAAGATGAGCGTGAACTGCTCAAGGCGGGAGGCGGAGTGGCGGATGGTTGAGAGGGGACAAGGAGGACAGCAGTGGTTGACGTGGTTGAAGATGCTGGACCAGGAGGAGGCTGGCGGCTTAGAGTAGGCGAGCTGCTTGTACTCATGTGTTGATCCCATAGGCGTTTGTGATGTGAGATCATGTGCCTACGCAAAGCAGTTGTACCTAGGTGGGTGTTGGACTTCCCACGACTCAGTTTCTTTTGGCACAGGTTGCAAATGGCATCGCTGTTGTCAGAGGCAGACACACAAAAAAATTCCACACTGAGCTCTGCAATGACGGGCATTCTGGTGGTGGACACAGCATGCGCTGATTACGTAAGGTTGGGTCGGCCATTGACCCGGTGCCGTATGCATGCTGTCTGAGGTGCCACTAGGGGCCTTGCGACACCTCCCCTGCTTCCAACCAACCTCGTCTCCTCCTCCTCTCTGTCTCCGCATCTGAACTTTCGCCCTGTTCTTCTTCTTCTTGCCGAGCGGGCACCCACGTGACATCCATGGACGCATCGTCATCATCAACCGCTTCACTTGTATCTGACAACTCAGCAAAGGAAGCAGCAGCGGGTACAACATCATCATCATCACACCGCACGTCCATGTGTGTAATGCTGCCTGCCTGAGACATATCCCTGTTATCTACATCCTCTGGCAATAATGGTTGCGCATCACTCATTTCTTCAAACGGATGTGAATAACTCCTCTGACATACCAA